TTCAGAATGTTTTTAAAAACATTCTAGTCTTTTAATTCGTTTTTGTTTTTTTGTGGTTTTCTAAATATAATTACTTCCCGCAGTTAAATTAATGCGTTTTGATAAAAACTAACCTTAATTTTGTCAGCTTTAATACTACAAACAAGCGAAGAGCCATTTTTTACCATAAACTGTATATCTAAGCCCTTTACTATAGGTGTATGTATATATATATATATATATATATATATATATATATATATATATATATATATATATATATATATATTTGCCTCACAGTTTCCTTTGTTCTTTTATTACCTAGATAGAAGCAATTTTAAGGTTTTCCATGTTTTTTAAGATAAATTAATTAAATGTTAGTAATTATATTGCATTTTTAATTAATCAACTAATAATGAATAGAAATTTCAGGTAATATAAATTATTTATTTCTTAACTAGTAGGCATAACATTTTACAATACATATTAAATATAATTATACATACTATTCACTAGCCAACTTGCCAACAATACCATTTAACCTTAAGTAAATTACATTTTGTTTGTTTTATTATTAACATGTTGCTTTCTGTTCAATTTAGAAATTAATAATATGATAACTATTAAATCATCTACTGAGGTGTGGCTTGTTGGTAAACCTACACAATTGTCAACTGCCAGACTTCCTTCAAGAGGAAATATTCTTCAAAAATGCATTTTCACAATTTAGAAGAGAAACAAGAAGTGAAAAAAAGTATTCAGGCAACAATTGAAGTCAGGCAACAATTAATTTAGTTCTTGTTATATGGGAGAGAGGAAGAATGCCAACTCAACGAATTGATAATGCGGAAAGAAAGTTTAAAAAAATTTATAGTCAAGCCTTCCCAAGAGATGCATGCAGTTTTTTGCCTCGTTTGTCCACAAAAAAGTTTTTTATTTAGAAAACTTGATTATTTTTTTCACATACAGCCATGAGTATAAAAGCAAATAATTCAAGTGAAGATTTATTAATAATAAATGTTTATATATATATTTCACCAATAACATTAGACCAAAAGGAAAGGGGCGGGTAGAATCAAGCATACTGAAATGAATGTTAAAAAGCAACAGGTATTTAAAATTTCAAAGCGCTAAAAGATTGGGGATAAAAAATGTACAGGAATAGAAAAATTATCCGAAACAATTAAGGCTATGTGAAAAATGTGTCTAAAAAAAAGAAGGCACGGCATATTTGAGGTTTAAAACTATGTATATACGAGTGTGTGCCTTACTTTGAAAATACAGCGAGAGGTTTAAATGGTATAAGAAATCTGATGTTTATCATTCAAAAGCAGAAAGATTTTTTATATACAGAAAAAAGATAAACGGCCTTATGAGAATTATATGTCTACATGCATACATGAGTGTATATATAAACATATACGCATGCATTACATAGAGGTATTCATATAAGGACAACATATACTTGTTACATTTAAATTATACAAATATATTTTACAAACAGATAGCAATTAATACTTTTACTTTTCTCTTTTAAAAACAAATAAAATATAGGAAAATTAGTCTTTTTAATGTCAACTTAAAACTGTTTTTTTTTTTGTTTGTTTTTCCTTATCCAACTTTGTTGATAAAAATAACAACCAACCTAAAGGAAATAAAATAAAAACAGTACACAAATTACTTAAATTATTAAATTTTTTTTTCTAAATTTATTTTAATTTTTAATTTTGTTTTGCTTTCTTTGCTTTTGAAGTTTTTTCCACAAAGTATTGAAATGCTTAATAAAAAAAAAAACTTACAAATGACCCTGACCAAGTTTTATAAACAAAAAAATTTTTCATGGACAAACGAGACAAAAAACCGCATGCATCTCTTTGGAAGGCTTGTTATAACAATTATCTGTTGCTGAAAAAGTACAGAGGATCAAAATTGAACAGCTGTCAAGTGAAAGAAGGACTTTTTCAGGCTGACCTTGAAGATTGTTTTGATATATAAACCAAAAATGCATCAGAAGTTATAAAAAATAATGAAGATAAAGCATTCTTATGCCAACAGCAAGAAGATCCATTAAATTGTAGTATGGCAGAAAATGATCAGAATTTAACAGCTCGGAAAGCATGGAAACGAATTCGAGAAACTGAAATGGAAATAAGGTGTCAAAACAGTCAAGCCGAATTGATAGAAAAAAACTGAACTTGTTCCTTCTTCATCAGCAATTGGCATTGAGAGTGCAAGTAGCTCTAGTTCCTTGGATGATGATGAATATGAGATTCCTTCCATTTCCAGTACAAGCAGTTTAACGAAAAAGAAGATTAAAGTTCTATTAGATAATGTTGTATCATCTCTTGATTGGGTTAATATTTCTGATTGCCATGAACTCTTTATAGTTGTGCTTAACAATGGCTCAAGCTCTTGGTCACACAGTAAAAGATTTATTTTTGTTGTTCAGCACAATCTGCAGAACAAGGCGATTGGTTCATGAAGCAATGATTACATCAGACAAGGTCAATTTATCTCATAATGATCCACTTCTTTTGCATGGAGATATAAAATTCTAACCTGATATCACTGGTGGTCAACAAAAAGTGGATAGAATTGCTATCCTTGTGACTGATGGTTGGATAGAAAAAATTACTGGGCGTTCCAAGGTCCAGGTATGGGCAAGCAACAGGCAGATGCTTGTAAGAAGGCAGTTGAAGATTGGCAGTTGAATGAACATGTTTGGGGATCGGACACTACTTCATCCAACACTGAGTTGAACATTGGTGTTTGCACAATAATGGAGCAGAATCATAACCGTAATCTTATATGTATAGCATGCAGGCAACATGTTTTTGAAGTCGTGCTTTCCACCTTTTTTACAACTGCATTTAGAACCAGTTGAGAACCTCAGGTGGGACTTTTTAACTGTTTTCAGAAGCAATGACTAGATCAACAAAGAGCTGTTTTCTACAGCGAATAAAGAACTTTTTATTTTTAAAAAAGAGTTTGATAAAAAAATCATGTAAATGTGATTTTTTTTATCAAACTCTGTGAAGAAATGTTAGGTCAACAATTAAAGGTCAACAACCCAGGGATGATTACTTTGAACTCTTGAATGTGTGCTTTATTTTGCTTGGAGGATCAACTACAACATCAGAGTTTAATGTAAAGTTTCAGGCTCCAAGTGCAACACACAATGCTAGTTAGATGGCCAAAGCTAATAACAGACATAAGTCTTTTGGTGGCATTTATATATAGATAGTTTTGGAATGAAGCTTTGTTAGCTGAACAAGCATCATTCAATGATGCCATGCTTCTTCGACGGATTCAAGAATATCCAAATTGTACAACTGCAACTGCTGCATTGAATCGTACAAACAGCAAAAGCTTTTCATTGCCACCTCTGGTATTTTTATGAACATTTAGTAGGATTGGTTTTCTTTGATTCCTGTGTCAATAACAATACCAAGAAATACATGGCAAGCAACTTTAAACAGCAGCCAAGTAAAAAATCTCTCAAAAGACTTGATGCTGTCACATTCGATTGTCTTCTTTAATCATACAATGCACTGCAGAACTTTTCAATTTTGAAGAATGGCAAAGAAAAAGCTTAATTATTTTTAATAAAAGAACCTTCAGAGTGGCAAATGGATTCAACATATTTTGAATAAAAGCACAAGGTTCCTCAAATGAAGATTGTCAATAATTGAACAGAACCAAACATAGCACTTATAACATCCTTTAACTCAAGCATTAAAAAAGCAACCAAAAGCAGTTTTTTCTTTGATTGATTGATCTTCACCAGAAAGAACTTCATCTGTCTGATCAGTTGCATCAAAGTCTGATCAAAGTGATGATGAATTTGCTGATGATAGATAATTGATTTTTGATTGTCTAGTGCATTGTGGTATGTAGTACACAAAAAATACTGTACTAAATATTTATTTAGCAGTATTGTTTTCAAACAATAAAAATCGACAGTCCCCATAATATTAATTAAATAAAAAAAATATATAAAACAATAAATGAAATTTTTTTTCTTAATTTTACACCAAAAATGTGACAAAACATGGCACCAAAAATGTGACAAAACATGGCAACTGTTTTTCTTAGGAGGAACTGCCAAACATAACTCAACTTTGAATAAAAAATCATTCCACCTGTAAATAAAAGTCACTAAAAACACAAACTATTATTAAAAAGATACCAAACTATTATACTGTAAGAATCAGAAATATATCTAAATATTATCTGATTTGCTTAAAATTTTGCCCAATAATTATATTGTCATATAGAACAAGGGCAAGCTCAAGGACAACTAAAGTTTTGATCCTAAAAATTTACATCACTATAAAATATATATAAATATATATATATATATATATACAAATATAAATATATATATATATATATCTTATACTGCTGAGTGAGGTGAGCATGATGTCATACTGAAATAGCCTGCTGCCGGGGGCTTCAGTACATACATCGACTGACAAATAGCCTGACTCGCGGTGGAGTGCTGCTACATAGCCTAAGGGTTTGGGATGGGTCAGCAACCTTTTCATTCATTTTTCATTTGAGCAAAAAAAGTGAGCAGTTGCACAAATATACTATAGTAGATATATATATATATATATATATATATATATATATATATATATATATATATATATATATATATATATATATATATATATATATATATATATGTTAATTACAAAAAAAATAGGCAATACCAAAAAAATACAATAAAAAAAGTTATGAAATTATTTAATAAAAACACAATGACTAATAAAATGGTAACTATTATGCAAAAAGTGATACTTTTTTTCCATATATATGTGTGTGTATATATATATATATATATATATATATATATATATATATATATACATATATATATATATATATATATATATATATATATATATATATATATATATATATATATATATATATATATATATATATATATATATATATATATATATATATATATATATATACCCAAACAACATAAATATACACAAATTTCTTACAAATATTAAATTTTTATTCTTTAAAACAACTGCAGGAGTTCCTGGAACAGCAATAAATGAGATTTTCCCAGGAGGAACTGTTAAACATAACTCAACTTTGAACAAAAAATCATTCCAGTTGGTTTGCTAAAATAAATATGTACCTGTACATAAGTCACTAAAAATGCAAACTATTATTAAAAAAGATACCAAAACTATTATACTGTAAGAATCAGAAAAAAAATATTATTAACAAAAATAACAAGTACCATTTCCAGTTTCATAATCTTAACAAAATCTTTCATAATTTTTGATTGTGTTCCTAGTATCCTTGCAAAAGAAGTTAATGCTGGGACTTTATAAGGTGAGCATACTACCTGAAAAAATTTATATATATATATATATATATATATATATATATATATATATATATATATATATATATATATTAATATTAATATATATTCCATGTTCTGAGTTAAGTTGTATGACACTGGCATTATTGAACTAAACTTGTTACTTTGTTTGTCAAGGTTTGTATTTTGGAGTTTAAGTGGTGAGAGAAAATTGTAATAACTATTTAAAGAAAATGGCATGGCTAACATGGTTTAGGATAAATAAAATGTGATACAATGAATAAAATGTGTATGTATATATATATATATATATATATATATATATATATATATATATATATATATATATATATATATATATATATATATATACACACACCCTGTGAAAGTAGAAAAAGTCAGCACTTTTAGGTAGACATTGCTGAATGTCGACCCATATTCTGAGGGTTGATATATATACACATAAATACAATACTGTGAACATGTTTTAGACCACTTACATTTTTTTATAAAATTCCAGAGAATTCTTCTCTATTATTTAAGTTTGTAGTTCTATATTTTAAACTTATCAAAGCACACGTATTTCACACAAAATAAGGAACAATAACCAGGCTTTCACAGGAAGACGTGCGATTTCATGTCTTTATATGACCAATCAAAAAAATATGTTTTAACGTTTTGACCACAGCATATTTTTAAAATTTAAAAACGCGCTACAAAAACTTACCTTAACTTATCTGAAAAAAAAATTAAAAAAAAAATAAATATTAACGAAAGAGAAAATAAAATAAAATACTTAGTTATAGCAAAAACACAAAAAAATAGATAAATAAATATATATATATATATATATATATATATATATATATATATATATATATATATAACGCAACTAAAACAAAACTCATCAAACTAAAATGCTTAGTCTATTTAATTTACGCATTAAAAAACCTTTTCCATCTTTGTTTCAACATTTATATATATTTTTTATTTGTTTAATATGTTCAAAAGTTAAATATTTCTTATAAAAAATACATAGTTATATAAATAAAATAAAAAAACATTTTATAAATACTTTTTTTTTTAATTAATTAGAAGTGTTTTTTTTTACTTCATTTAAAAGCGTTTCGATAATATAAAAGCATTTAAGATCAAACTTATTAAATTGTAACAGTTTTCTAAAATTTTTTTTTAATGAAATTTTGTTTATCTTTTTAAATGCATTAACTTTAATCATTATTATACTTTTTTTCAGTAAATTGTTACTTTATTTAAAATCGTTTTGCTAATATAAAAACATTTGTTAAAAAGTTTTGATGTAATTAATTTCACTTTTTAGAATATTTTTTATTTAGCACGTTTCTAACATGTTTTTTGAATTAGCCACGGTCAAACCGTCATAGCAAAATGTAACTTGCGTGGTCATATAAAGACGTGAAATCGCACGTCTTCCTGTGATAGCCTGAATAACAAACTATTTAATGTCAAACTTCATAAAAAACTCTTAATATCTACTATGTCCTCCTTTTGGCTTAATCGTAGCTGATATTTGCCGGAGAATAGATTCATACAAATTACACATTAGTTATAAAATACAAATTAGTTATAAAATCCTGGAGTATGTTGTGCCATTCTCTTTGAAGTACTTTGAAAACATTCTTCTGCATTTCAGGGAATATGTTCTACCTTTCTGTCCAGGTCATCCCAAACATGCTCAATTATATTCAAATCTGGACTCTGGAAAGACCAGGTCATCAGTAGTAGTATTCCTTCCGTTTCATTTAAATAATTTTTTACCACTCGCAAACAATCTTTTAGGTTCTGCTGCAGAATAAAATTATGACCTTATTGTCTCCTTCTGGATGGTATAGCATGGTGCTTAAGATATCCACATAACATTCCTTTCATATTTCTCTCTATTTTGATCAAATCACCTACTTCAGATGAAAATAAACAGCCCTAAACTTGTAAAGAACCTTCTCCTTGTTTAATAATAGGGTTTAAACACTCGAGCTGATAGGCTTCTCCAATTCTTATTTGAACATATTGGCATTTTTTCATTCTAAAAATTTCAAATTTCGACTCATCAGTGTTCAGATCTCGATGAAACATTTTTTGGATCCATTCTGTGTTGTTTTGCATATTAAAGTCTTTTTTCTTTATTGCCATGCTGTAATAATGGTTTTTGAATTACAGCACACCCTCTTAATTTTGATTTGGGTAGGTGTTGTTAAATACAAGAAGAGCTGACATTTTCCCCAGCTGCTGTGTTAATGTTCTTCTCTAACTCAGTTGATGTTTTTTTCCCATTTCTTAAATGAAGTTTTTAAATATTTATCATCATCTTTTGTTAGCTTAGGAGGTCTATCACTTTTCTTTCTATCTTTAAGGGAGCCACTTTCTCTAAACATTTTAATGATTTCTGTAACAGCAGTTTTCGAAAGTTTTGGATGAAACTATGACACTTATCGTTTTAATAAAAAAAACAATAGAATCACTCATATTCCCTCATCAATTTTTGTTTATTATTTAAGACACAATTTTTTCTGCTAATATTGTTAAAAGGGCAAATTTAGTAATACATTATATTAAAATAAATAAAATTAAATTAGAAATGTTAACTGGAATTATAAAAAAGCATACTAATATGAGCATAACTTTATTATATATATATACTGATGAAAAGAAAAAACTTACTTTAGATTCAAAAAACTGTTCCAATGTTTTTAATTCATCTGCTGACCATAGGTTTTCTGTATATAAAAAAATAAGTTATTTACATTTTACTGAGTTACTGGGTTTAAAAGAGTGCTCAATATCTTTATATATATATATATATATATATATATATATATATATATATATATATATATATATATATATATATATATATATATATATATATATATAAACACACACACACACACACACACACACACACACACATGTATATCGAGGACCCTTTTTTTTTTATTACTTTTTTTTTATGGCAAATGTTGTTTTTTTCACCAAAAAAATGCCAATTTTCTGCTCAAGTTTGCTGGAACGAGGATGTTTCGCCGCCCAAATTTTTTTCCTAGAATAGGCCATGCATATATATATATATATATATATATATATATATATATATATATATATATATATATATATATATATATATATATTCTATTTTTTTTTTATTGAAACTGAAAAGATCTTTCTTTAAAAAGCAACATGTATTTTAGCTTATATTACCATTTTTTTAATATGGCTTTTACATTATACTGTTAGTATTTGTTTGTTTTTAGTTTTGGAGCAGTAAGTTGCATTTTAGTTGCACTCTGCATAGAATTTATTTGCATTCTGCATAGGATGCAGTTTACATAAAATTTTCATATTGCATATACTTGTTTATCTAAATTTAATATGAGAATTAAAAATGAAATTCATTTATATATAAGTAAGGATTATGATTATTTTTTATTTGTTTTTCTCTTCAATCAATGATGGTGCATACAGTGCAAATGTTAAAAGACTAGTTTCCTCTGTCAAATCAAACTTAAGTTTTATTTTTATAACTATGAATGCTACAAAGTAAAGTGTAGAAGTTGCCTCAAAACAATATCAATGTACTACAACACATGTATTACAACACATGCACTACAACAACTATTATTGAATATGAATCCTGTCAAAAAAATATTTTTCTAATAATTTATATTAATTCTTAGTTATTGGAACTGGTTATCTGGTACAGATTACTCAATTTTTTGCCATATGTAAAATAATGTTATGACTAGTGATTGATTTTTATCTATCAATTAATTGATAGATAAAAATTGATTAATTGATAAAAATCAATCACTAATCGTACTAGTGACCACTAGTATGATTTTTACTTGTAAGACTTTTATCTACCAATTAACCACTAGTATGACTAATGCAGGGCTTGAAATAAGCACCCGGCATCGGACATTGTCCGGTAAAAAACAACATCTATCAGTCATTTTGTCAGACATATATTTTATGTGCATTTATTTTCTAACCTTTTTAGTTGTTTCAAAATCATTAATAAAATCAGTATTTTATAAATTTTATTTTTTGAACTTTTTATTTTTATACAAAACAAAATTGAAGTTGAGCACACATCTGTGTTGATAAAATAAGTCATTTTTTTGAATTAATTCATTTTTTAAAAGATGCCAAAGCATTGAAGTAACTAGCCCGGTTTTTAACATTCATATTAAAACTAGGGGTGTACTGGATTGGAAATTTTGAATTCCGGCTGGAACCGGATTTACCGGATTTATTTAAAAAATTCCGGCCAGATTTATATTCATGTACGAGATTTAAATTTATGTAGCTTTTTACCTTCAAGATTGAAAGTAAAAGCCTGTACCTCATCATCGTAATATATATTTATAACCTATAATATATATATATATTTATATATATATATATATATTTATAACCTATAATATATATATATATATATATATATATATATATATATATATATATATATATATATATATATATATATATATATATATATATATATATATATATATATATATATATATATGTGTGTGTATAGACACATATATATATATATATATATATATATATATATATATATATATATATATATATATATATATTTATAATATACATATATATATATATATATATATATATATATATATATATATATATATATATATATATACACACATATATATATATAATATTTACTGTATTAGGCATCCTATACTTTTTAATTATTTAAAAGTTAAGAAACATTAAAATGAGACAATTGTCAGAGGCAGGTAACATTTTTGATGATAAAATAGCTTGTTTGTAGCTTTACCTAAAATTACATTGTATTTGTTAAGAATTTTGTATTTTTCACCTAGGTTTACCCATAGTTCTTAACTGCCCTGTAGGGCAATGATTTTTTGATTTAATTTACACAGTCAGTGTCACATGTCTTAAATAAAGTAAAAAATAAATTCCAGCATTCCGGTCTTAAATATTATAAATCTGGGCGAACCGGAATATCCTAAAAGCCACAAATTCTGGCAGGAATGGAATTCCTGTACATCCCTAATTAAAATGTTACAATTAGTTATCAATTTAGATTTATAGTTTAGTATTTTTTTTTTTTTTTTGTCAGATGGCTTTTATAAATTTTTAACGTAATACTTATAGAAACCAGTATTTTTTATTACACTATTAAATTTGAGTTGTTACGTAACATTTGTATTGTTACGAGCTAAAATTTTTCGCTATTCAGGGTTATTCAAGTTTAATAAGATTTATAAAAAAATACATATTTATATAAACGTAATTACATGTCATATACTTTGATCATTTAAATGAAATGTGTTTGTTGTAAACATTATAATTAATTTGTTACTTTATTTAATAAAGTAATAAGTAAATTTATGTATTTCAGATATTTACATAGTAATTGATGTATTTAATAATTTTGTACATTTTATACATTTTTATTACATATTTATTTACATTATTTATGTATTCAATACATTTACCTAATAATTTATGTATTTAATAGTTTATAAACCATTTTGTATAATATAGTAATTTTCAAAGAATAAAATATAAATATATTTTCCTTTTCAAATTTTAGTTTTTTGAGCTTAGATATTTTCTTTTTCTTGAAGATTTTTTTTTTGATAGATAATTTATCTTACAAATTTTCTTTTTATTTTCAGCACATTTTGAATTACCTAGAGTCTTTAAAACAAATTGCGATGTCAAATTGTAAAAACAAAATATTTTAAGTAATATAATGAATGACGTTCAATAGCACTTCTTTAATTTTTATTTGAAATGTCTGTTAAACTTGAGTCTTTACCGGACAATTTGTCTGACAGAAAAAAGTTTGTCATTTTGAGCTCTGCTAATGATTGATTTTTATCTATCAAATAACCACTAGTTTGACTAATGATTGATTTTAAAAATCCTACACCTAAAGTTTTTTTTTCTTATAATAATAAATGTAATATATTGAGCATCTATAATTGTTGGTAGGATATTTGTAGTGTTATCATCGATTATGTTTTGATGGCTGTGCTTGTGAACAATATTGTGTTTTTAAACTTTTTTTTTTTCTTTTTGCTACTACTGATTTATGTTTTGTATTATTTCAATTGTTCATACTTTAAAGTAGATAAATTTAAGGTTTAAAAAAGTTTAAAAGAAAAATAATTTTTAAACAAAAATGTTTAATACAAATAACTAATTCCATACCATGACCTTTGTTAGGTGTGACCTTTAAAACCAATGAATCCATTGTATGTGGATTTAAACGAACACTGTACTGCAATCCTGTATCTGGACCATTTTTTCCACTTCCCGCAAATATAACAACACCATTATCAAACTTTTCTAATTTAAGCTGAAAATTACAAAAAAATAATAAATTTAAAACATTAAGCATTGTAAGCAAGGAAAGTGGTGCTGTGCGTTGCCCTATCATACGAATGATAATTTCAATGTCAAAAGATAAAATAGATTTACTAACCAGAAATTTTTTAAATTTTTTGTTAAAGATTACTACTTTATTAAAAAGGAGTTTCTGCATATCAAACAATGTTAAAAATATTCAAATAAAAGATTTTCACAGCATAACTGAAAATGCAAGTTCTAGAAAGCAACTAAATGACTGCTAGAAAGTTGGAACTGGTTAAAAGCAGATATTAACAACAATTTTCATACAAGAAAATTTTTTTTATTTGTTGTTTTATTGAATGTAAAAATCTTTACACAGAAACAATTTTATTGGATAAAGTTGGAATTTTATTTTTGGCCTATTTTTATCTCCATATTGCAACATATTTATAAATTTATAGCTAACTTTTAAATTATTTTACTATCACTGCCATATGTAACCTCAACAATATTACAGGGCCAAGCAGATTCTGCACATATGTATTACAGTGCGCAGAATTTTAATCAATCTATTTTCTAAAATCTAATATTTTAGTTTTGTCAAAAATCAATTTTACATTTATAATTTATATAAAATGATTTGAAGAATTAATTTTATATTTTATTCAGATTTCTTTATTAATTAATACAAATATTCATTTTAAAAACAATTAAAAATTAGATTTATGTTGTTGCACTCTGAAATCTGAAATAAGTATATTATGTTAAACACTTTTTAGAAGATTTTTTTTTTTTTTTTGGTATGGTAGAAGTTTATATTTCGGTCAAGAGAAAATAATATATATATAAATATATATAAAATAAATATATATGCAAAAAATAATAAACTGAAAAAAAACAATAAAAAGCATTACTGTATCATCAACTCTCATTACACGAATAAGTTCATAACGTAGCAAAATAGAACCAAAAAATCTTTCTAATGGACACAACTTTACTGTTTGTTTGGATGTTGCAACAGGTAATAGTAATTTTTTGAATCCAGCATGACTCAGAACAACAGGAACAGGAGCATTTGAGATATTAATACCTGTGAGCATTTGTCTTGTAAGACTACAATAACGTTCAATAAACTTTCAATAGTTTCATTCAATAGTTTACAAAATTAAAAATATTTTATTAAAAAAAATGAGTTATTTTTTAAAAGTAAATTTGAATTTTGAATATTTCTTAAAAGTTTGGAGTTTGAAAAAAATAACTACACAAATCAAAGAAATATTAAATCAGAAATAAGAAACCAAAAAGTAAAAAAAACAAACAATACTTTAATTAACTATCTAGACCATTTGAAAGCAATTGCTAGCTTACCCTGATTTTCCGGGTCGCGGGGAACCTTGAACAAGAGGAGGTGAACCAGGCCATGCATTTGGTGACATCACAGGTATATAAGCAGGTGATGGTTGGATAAATGTGCCTTATATAAACATATATAACAATATATAAAAACATATATAAAAATATATTTGATTTGTTTATTTGTTTAAAACAGTTTTTCAAATATTTTATATTACCTGGGGAAGGAGCTGAGTAAGGGTTTCCTGGACTCTGCATCGAGTGTTGACTATAAGGTGAAGATATTGCTGGCGACTTCATAGAACGATCTTTGTAAGATCCAGTTGAATCATGTGACGGAGGGCCTAAGGCTAAAATTATTATTTAGATATAATATAAGGATATGTGTTTATTATGCTCATTATCATACATTCTTATGATTTATTATGCATAATAACTGTTATGCATAATAACTGTTATCGTACAGAAATTCTTATGACTAATTATGATATTAATTATGTATCATAATTAATATCATAATTATGCAACATATATTATCATAAACATAATAACACATAATATTTTTCAAAGTTTTTACAGCTTAAAATTTATCATTGTGATTATCTACTATTAAAACTGTTTTTTATAATCATATTTATCATGTTTTATCATAATTATTTATGTTTTAGGATAACTTTTATGTTTTAGCATAAAGATAATGCACAATAGATAATTAATAAAAGTTACTATTTATAATCAAGTTAAAATTTAGTCCTTTTTAAATGATTTTTTTACTTTCAATGCATAAAAATTATAGTATCAACTTTTTTAGGTTTTTTTTTTATTTTTTTACAGCCTATTTGATAACATTTCCAATGATGTCTATATTGACAGTAGTTAATTGATTTACCTCTGACTTAAAATAGAAATATCAAATAACTCTAGGTGCAAGTTAAGTAAGTAAAGTTTTGGGTATGTTGAGAAATACATTTTTAAGTTTAAATAGTGAATTACTAAAAAATATATACACAACTTTTGTAAGACTGATAATTAAATTTGCTGTATCTGTGTGATCTTCATATCTTAAAAATGAAATTAATCTCTTAGAAAAAGTACAGCACTATGCTACAAGAATGATATCGCCACTAAAAAAACTATGTTATGAGAAAAGATTAGATAAAATGGGTCTCACTACTTTAGTTATAAGACGGATTCGGGGTGACTTGATTCAAATGTATAAGTTATTCAGTAGAATTGAAAAAGTAAATTTAATTAATAAAATTTTGCTAGGAAGTTATTAATCAGCAAGAGGTCATTGAATGAAATATCATCACGAAATAACCAGTTTTTTGCCTCTGCATTATTTTTTAACAAACAGAGCTTTTTACTGGAATCTAATACCTACTGATGTCTTTAATTTCTGTAAATTCTTTTAAAGCTTGACATATAGATTTTAAATAATGTAACTATGCTGAATAATGATATAGTTGTCTAAGTGTACTTGGTACACTCACCAAAATATCGGTCACAGCTCAAATATATTACTATTACTATTACTATTTGTACTAGGTCTGTAAGAGAAAAATCTAAATAAAGGTATAAGTAGCAAAACATGTTTGTTGTGTCACTTTCTTGATGTGTTTTTCCACTCTATAGAGTAAAAAATTAAAGTGCAAGATAGGCTTCTTCGAACATGCATATCAAAGCAATATGGTAAAAGACACCATTATTTTGTACCAAAAAGTGCAGCACAAGTAATAATTTAATCTCCAGAGCATCTTAACAACTCAAGAATAAAAAATTAAATTTTTTCTTCTTGCAATGGTTTAATAAAAAAAAAATTCAAATTTTTTTTTATTAAACTATCTTAAATAAAAAATTATATAGTAGCTAAAAAACTAATTCACGTGAGTATTTCTTAAAAAGTCAAAAAATATTTTTTTGTCCTCCCCTAAAATATTTCTGAATTCGCCCCTGATAAAAACGATGCTTCAATTGTTTTGTGAGAAATTGAAGGACCATGAATTTGCACTTGAAGCGATAACGCTAAAATTTTGAGGCTTATTTTTGGTAGATTTAACAAAATTTGTGGTAGATTTATTTGTGGTAGATTTAACAAAAATCAATATTTTATATACATTATCTTTTTAATTTGATGGTTTAAGACCATTACTTGTAATGCTAAAAAAATGTAATTGTTTCTGGCAAACAATATAAAAAATTACTTAAGATGGTTTAACAACCCAATCAACAAATTTAATAAAAAAGAATAAAATCTTTTTTTTAGAACCTGTTCTTTTAACTACCCATTGATTTGCTAATTATATTCTGCCCAGTAAATATTCAATTAAATTTCTTAAAAAACTGAAAAATTATTTTATTTGATATTTGTGTATTTAAACACATTTATAATTTATTATATATATAGAATAAACCATCATACTTTTAGCAATTGTTAAATTATTTATGCACATTTACTAATTACAAAAAGTATATTTAATTAATATATTCAATGTATAATAATCAAGTATTAAAATAATTTGAAAGAGAAAATAAACATACACTCATTCTGCTGATCAAAGTCAGCTGTTGAACCTCCTGGTGTAAAAGGAAAGTCAGTATTCCCACGGGTGATATCATTATTTAAACGCCCTTGGTCCACAAACAAATTAAGAAAACTCTAACAAAAATTCATTAACTTATGTTTTCAACATTATCATGAAACAATTTTATCAATTTATAAAAAAAAACAGTATAAAATATAATAATATAAAAAAAATATATATATAAAAGTTACAGTTAACTGTGATATTGGAGAAAAACCTCGCATTCCTTTTGTGGAATCAGTCATATACAATGTACCATCTAAATAAAAAAATGATGCATAAAGTTACTATTAATAATGTATTAGAATATTAATTATTTAGAAAATCCTTCTTATTTCTACCTCGTATCAATACAGAATCTTGAAGAAAATAGATGTCTAAAATATATCTATAAACAGTTGCTGAGGAAAAGTCTAATAAATTCAAAAATATTTTTGAAAAAAAAACTATAGTTTACACAAAACTATAAGGAAAACAAATAAGAAGAAAAGATACTGATTTCGATATATGAGTTTCATATGTGTGGACGAATGTGTTATAAAAGTAAAATTATTAACCATTGAAAGCACCCTCTAAATAAAAACACCCAATAAAAAAGCACCCCCTAAATAAAAACACCCAATAAACAAACCACCCTCCTCTAAACAAAAATGCTTATATAATAACTATTTCGGAAAACAAATAAAAAATAACTAAAAAAAAATATACACTAGATCTGCCACATGCTGGTAATATTGGAATGCTAGAGATGGAACTCAACGGAACCAATGTTCCATAAACAATCTGACAAAAAAAAAAAAAAAAAATACAAATAATAATTTTTTTCATTTTTTATATATCTATACATCTCTTATATATTATACATTGAATATATATACTTTTAATATATATTGGAAGTTTTCATGCTTGTTAAACTCTTGCATAAGATGATCTTGCATCAAGTAGTGTGGACATTTTTCACGGGATTTTCCATTTTCCATAAAAGATAATTTATATTTGCCATTACAAAATGATAACTCTATCTATTAAGAAAAAAAAAAAAAAAAAAAAAAAAAAAAAGTAAAAAAAATTAATGATAATTTAGTATATAATTTTTGAAATAATAAAATTAAATATGAAAAAATATTGTCAACCAAAACAATGTGTAGTTGAAATACATAATTTAAAATATGTAAAGAAAATGTTTATTTAGTTTTACTGTAAATATTTTGTTTTTATGAAAACTGTATTAAAGAGAAATTTATTTTGCCATCGCACCATAAAATCCACTAACAAAAAAGGACAAGTGTACTGGCACGAAAATGTTAATTTAATAAATGACCCAATTTTTGGAGTAGAGATAAAAAAGACTTAGAAACCAACAAAATATATAAAAACTCACATGAGAATAACAAACAATGGTGGGACATAATAAAAAGCAATATAAAAGAGATAAAAAGATCCAAAGAAATAAAGTTGGAAAATATTAATATCATATTAATATTTTCCAACTTTATTTCTTTGGAACTTTTTTGAAAGAAAAACTCTAAGTATGGAGTTTTTCTTTCATTTTGAAATTCTATATTTCTTAGCATATTATATGCTAAGAAATATAGAATTTCAAAATGAAAGAAAAACTCCATACTTGGAGTTTTAAATAATAAATAAAAATATATGAATGCTTTAAACTGTTTAGTTTCTTAAAGAAAAATTAATTCTAAATAAAAAAAGCACACCATGAAATGCTGAAAATTTAAAATTTAAAAAAAATCTAAAATAAAATAAAATACCACCACACTCTTGTAATAAAATAGATGTGCAATTTACACTATCAGATTTGTACACATGCCATTTTTTTGCTCAGCATATATAAGGTGTGCATGGCTACATGCAGATAAATTTACTCCTGACCAAGACTGTCATTTACAAAAAACATGTCAAAAATGATGTCTGGTTTAAATATAATCAGCAATACAAACAAGTACAAAGCAATGGTTACTTAAATTGTCAAAAACTAACGCTAATTTCAGCAGAAATAATAATAATAAAAAAATATACAGAAAATTCATGAAAAATCTAATTTTAATTTTGTCAATTTGGCAGTATAACTGATATCTTAATGATATTATGAACCATACAAATTAGTCTGTTGTTGTCAATGTAAATAAAAATAGAAAGATACATATTTTTAAAATTATTTTTAAAATTATTTTTTTTCATATTCATTTTTTCATCCTAATAAATCATCTGGCGGTCAAATAGTTTTTTATGATTCCATAATCAAGTAATTTTACTAATATCATAGATTTGTAATTACATTTATATTCCTGTTTAGTAATAAAAAATATAAATGCTTACATTAAAACACCTCGCAGGGGAATATGTTAAAACTAATGACTTCATATTGTAGCTGTGTACTGAAAAATCATCAATACCACAAGTAACATGTAGTGCTATATATATAAAAAAATTAGACAATATTAAAAGATATATAACATTTCTTAGTCATTAAAAACTATAAACAATTTTAATAAATTTTTAAAACTTTTTAACTTACAGTTTAAAACATCATGGATATCTTGTGCATGTTGAAAAACCTTTACCATGCCTCTATAATCTTCAAGAATCTGTACCACAATATTGTCTGCTTTCATATCATAAGTAAACTCAACAAATTCAACATTCAAGCACTCTATGTTAAGTTTCTGGAATTGATAAACTACAACCCATCGCATAGTATTGTAGTCAACATAAAGAATACATGACAAAATAAGTTCTTTGAAGTTTTTAGAATCAGTTTTATTACAGGATTCAGGCAGAGGAAAATCTAATAAATTTAAGTTGTAATGAGAATCATCTTTTACATGTACTCCATCAAATACAACTTTGTGAACAGCTAGCTAAAAAAATTTAATCAACGCAAAGAAGTCAAAAATAATAACTTTTCAACAAAAAAATCAATAGACAAATTGAGGGTGTTTCACAGAATATATAACATTACAAATACATATATATTTTTGCTCTTTACTTGTTGATTGTTCTAGTTAGGTAAATTTTTTATAATGAGGGGGGGGGGGGAGGGGTTTAATGTGGAAGTCTAATTAAACACAGTATTATTTATTTACTCACAAGAATAAATATTTAGCTTTGTGAAAGCTTTTGATTCAATTACTGCTAAACCTCAGTGTGTAACCCATATACTTATAACCAAAAAATGTTAGGACATTACTTTTTTTTTTGTTAAATTAAATCTATATACTGCCTTTACTCCTTAATGTTATATTTTAAAGATGTTACAAAGGTTGCCTTCCCCCTCCCCAAAAAAAAATGAAAAATGAAAAAAATTAAATTTAGAATAAGTTCTTTTTCATAGGGTTGGCAATCTTGCAGCTATTTACAAACTTGGGAATTAATCTAAGAAGTTGACCTTTAAAGCCAAAAAGGAACTATGGGAGTTTGACTTTTCAAGTCAAATACTTTTTTCTAAGAAAAATAGCCATATGAAAACATTTCATATTAAAAAAAATATATTTAATTAATATATATTTTTAATTAATATCTTTTTTGCATTTGATTAAAATCAAACTCTTAAAATTTTAATTTTAACATAATATATAAAAAAAAAAAAAGTTTCACTTTGTCTCTTCAAGATGGGTGGGGTTTTCAGTATTTGCAATGTGACATTCAGACTGAATTTAAAAGTCCTTCTTCAATAATAATTATAATAATAATAAGTATTGCTGTTGAGAACACCATGTTGAATCTATGACAGTTTTTTAACTATAATAATTACTAATTTAGATAATAAATAAGTAATAGTTATATAATGTTTGCTATAAGAAAACTCTTTGGTTATAAGAAAACTCAGAAAAAAGAAAAATTTATAAAATTGGATTAAATCAACAATTTTTCTTCTTTTGGTCAACGTTGTTAGATTAAATTTGATTAATCTTTCTTCATATGGTAGGTGTCTAATTTCTGGTACTACCTTAGTTGCATGTTTCTGTATATTTTGAGTATATTAACTTCATTATAAATATAAGGATTCCATACTTAAACAGGGAATTCAAGATGTGTTCTTACGTATGCACTATAAAAGCTTCTAAAAAGTTTCACAAGTTTTATAATGGAAAGTGTTGGAAATTATACCTAATTTAGTATTTGCCCTTGAAACTGCTGCTCTGATCTGCATAGCACAATTTAGATTGTCTGATATCAAAACCTCTTTCAGTGTTTGTTGTTAACAATCTCATTATTAGTCATGTAATAATCAAAGTTTTGATTGCGTTTACCAAGGTGCATTATTTTACATTTATTAGTATTGAAATCCATGTTCCATTTATATGTCCATTCTACTTATAAATATACAATATTTCAAGGGATTATAGATACCCTCGTTGTCAAGTATATACATATATATTTATAAAAAACCATTAAAAACAAAATCAAATCAATGCAATACTTTTTTTTCATTTAAAGCCTGTAAAAATAATATTTTTTTATTTTGTAATTTTTTTTTGTTAATAATTAAGAATAACTTACAGTTTCTTTTATGGCTGAATTTAAAGTACTAAGTAAAAAAAGAATTTCTAGTAAAATGAATTTTTGAACTGAGAGAAAACTTGTGTCGTCAACATCTTAAATACAAATAGAATATCTAGACTTTCTTAATCAATTATTTAATAAATGATAATTATTTAACTAATTCAAACAATTTATACAAAACTAGCAAAAACATTTGATTGTATGACTTGCAGCAAAAAACTTTGATCCATTAAATGAACTATAAAGATAAAAAGTAGCATGGACTTATCCAATGATATAAAAAAAAACTTCAAGCAAAAAAAAGCAAAAGCTTGATGTTTCTTTTAACCCAGACAATTAGAGAAAATAATTATATTAGATAAACAATTAGATAAAGCATTGTTAAGATCTTACATGTACGTTTATTAACTTGTAAGTTTTTTCCTGATCCTCTTCTCCCCTCCTGCTTATCATTTTTGAAGAAATGTAAAATAGTTGTGCAAATTTTCTACTTTAACAAACAGTTTTTTTACTCAAAGGTTTTTAATTTAAAACTATTTCATTTAAAAACATTTCTCCATCATAAAAATTTTTTAAAGCTAGAAAACTTTAACTTTTTGTTTTAATAAAGTAGAAGTTAAAAAAAAAAAAAGTTTTTGTTTAAAAGAACTTCACAAATTCTTTTGTAATTTAAGTTTCAAGTGTGTTCTTGATTACTTTTATTTGTGTTATTTTAAGTGCTGAAGCAAATAATTTGTTGGTGGATGAAAAGATTAGTCTTCTTTAGAATAAAAATAAAAAAAAAAGAAAAATAAAAAGTTATGCAAAATATATAATGAGGAATATGATACCAAATGTAAAGAATTCAAAAACGCAGTGAACTGGAATGATAACACAAAAAAATACACACAAAATTACCTAAAAAAAAGATGTGCATGTGCTATTTGTAATTACTATCCAGATGTTGAAGATATAAAACAGGATGATCCTATTTTAATTAAAACTTTGAAGTTTAACATTTTAATTTTTGTTGAATTTTTTTTTATTTATTTAATTTATATTTGCAACTTAAGAAAAGAAGTTTTTGTAATGTCATGGTTGCACAATAAATTCTTTTATATTTTTAATGACATTTTCAGTCAGATTAAATCAATCAGTTGGAAACCGTACCGTGTGGAAAAACTATTTTGGAACTTTAAATAAAAATAATTGAAAAAATTGTTAAAAGAACTTATAAAAGTTTTCATTGAAGAAATGAAAGAACTTAGAAAAGTTTTCATTGAAGAAATGAAAGAAAGAAAATGTAATTATTAATTAAGAATTAGAAAATAAGGAAAAGAAAGAATTACATAATTATATAAAAAATTAAACTATAAATAATCACCAATTGCATTTGCTATAAATTATATCATGATTGCTAAATAATTGCAATCTCTTAATTTGCCTCGCTTGCCTATAGAAAAACAAACTACATAAGTGTGGCAGAATGAATTTTACAAGCAAGTTCATTCACTTTTTGATGTCTAACTAAATTTATATTTATTTGAGAGTTATTAGACTTTTATTTGGTTTTTAACTAAAAATATTATATTAGGTATTGATTTATTGTTTGTTTATAACAAAAGCAATGGAACATTTTAGTTTTTTGAGATATCGCTGAAAATACTAAAGTGGCATTCTTAGGCAACGCTTTAAAAAAAAAAGTGTAGTGTCTAAGGAGTAATAAAATTTGTGTAAGGTGCAAATAAAAACCAAAAATAAAATTCTTTCAAGTATAAAAAAAACTTTGAAGAACTTTAATTGAAACACAGTAACAAAAAAATATTTTCCTTCACACTCATTATATTAAAAATAAGTTTATGATAAAATAATAAAAAAACTACTTTTTTTTTAAATCTTTTTAATAAATAAATTCAAAGCTATATTTAAAAAATCAGTTGTGTCAATTTTATTTAACAAATGAAAGTTTACACTTTGCACAGTTTTTATAAACTCTGCATCTGTCATAAGAAACCTTTTAGAAATTGTGAGATTTACACTCAACAACGTTTAAATTCAATTATTACCCAAAATCTTGTAACTAAACTATTAACTAAAATAAATTGAAGATTTAAAAAACATTTCTACCTGCTTGGATATTTCTATAAAAGGAATGCAAAGAATAGTCTGTAATAAATTGAAGATTTAAAAAACATTTTCACCTGCTTGGATATTTCTATAAAAGGAATGCGAAGAATTGTCTGTAATAGCACTAAGTGTAATGTACTGTTAAATGCGAGTTGTTTACTTGATTCAACGCAGCATTTTCTCCTTTTTGCACTAGATATATAATCCTCTTGTGAAGTCTATATAAATTATATGAAATAAACTTCATTCATTTCCTTCTGCATTCTTTTAAAGAGTGAAATATAATTTAAAATGTCAAATAAAGCATAAAGAAAAGTAGATTAATAAAAATTTTGTTTAAAAGAGTCTCACAAACTATAGCATAAAATTTGTAAGTTCTTTAACAGATTGTTTACAACTACTCAAACTCAAAAATATAAATTCTGATAAAAATCTTACAAATGATCTTGAAAAATTATTTAATTCATTGATATTTTGCAGTAGTTTTTCATTTAGTTGACAGCAGTAGTCTACAGAGTACGCAAGTGAACTTTTATCGTCTTGCTCTGGTTTAAATATTGATGGAAGAAGTTTAAGCAGATAAAATTTTTCTATTATTTCTTTTTCTTTTGAATCCAGATCAATTTGTAAATAAATTAACTAAAAAATAAATAAAACACAGTGTAAGATTAAAATAACAATAAAAAAAAATCAAATGACTGTATTTAAAGAACAAAATCATTTAATATAAAATACAATTGAACCAAAAAACATTTAATATTTTTTATTTTAACCATCACTATTGTTATAACATTTTTTTCTTCAGTATTAACTTATTAAATCTTTTTTATTATTTATCACATGATGAAGATTATTGTTTTATTTATAAATATCTATAACTATATATATATATATATATATATATATATATATATATATATATATATATATATATATATATATTAAATATAAATATCTATAAGTTGATGTTTAAAGGACACTATTTCAACCATTCAATTTAAAGAACACCAATTTAACCTTTCAACAAAAGAACACCAATTTAACCATTTAACAAAAGAACACAGATTCAACCATTTAACAAAATAACACAGGTTTCCAATGGTAAATAAAAAAAACAAAAATATTTTAAAACCGAAAATACTAAGAAGTTTAAAATTAGAACATAATTTAAAAAATATAACTAACTTTAACTACTAATAAAGTTTTTAAGCAAATGTTCAAAAAGGTTAAAAATTATATTGTATTTATTATTCTTCTGGATTTATTACAAAGAAGTGTTAGCTGCTGTTATTTTAGTAGCAGAAAAATGGTTACCAAGTCAAGTGAATGAGAAAGTAATGGTAGTAAAGTAATGGTTTATGATAAAGTTTCAGCAACGTGAAACAGGTAAGACAAGAAAAGAAGAAAAATATTTTTACATTGTTCTTGGTCAGTCTCTCATTTTGGAGAAAATAAGAGGCTGATTGTATGTGGAGACATAAATAAGCATGATGGTGCAACCACTGATAGCTTTGAAGGAGTACACCATAGAAGGTGTTTAGCCTAAAAGTTATTGAAGAAGAAATATTGCTAGAACTGACAGATTGGAAAAAAAAAAAGTAGTAAGGAAAAAAAGGGGGTTAGGGGGTTAGGGGGTTTTAGGGGGTTAGGGGGTTAGAGGGTTAGGGGGTTTTAAGACACAAGTGTACTTTATCGGAAGTAACATAATTTATCATAAGTAATATAAGAGCAATACAAGATAAAGCTTGTTTTAAAAAATACAAGTTATTACTTGCGACAATAAAAAGAGGAGATCTTTGTGAGTTAGTGCACACTTTACAAAAGGAAAGAAGATGAAATACATAAGCATTTTGTGAAGAAAACTCAAGCAAGAGCAAAAATCAATCAGAAATAAATGTGGAAAGTATACAGAAAGTGAGAAAATATCAGAAATAAATGTGGAAAGTATACAGCAAGTAAAAATATATCAGAAAGAAATGTATAGAATCTATGAATAGAATATGTATAGAAATATAGAAAGTATACAGAAAAAAAAAGTACAATTACTGATAAAATATGTGGTAGAAGAAACAATCCTCACAGACATTTATTGTAATTGAATGCAGAGGCAGTTAAAATTGTAAAAAGGAGGAAATATCATAAAATACAGAGCAAAAAGTGTTTATTGAAAAGCAAAAGATTATGAAAAAGATTGTTGATAAAGAGGTGGAAAAATACTTACAAATAAAGTTTGAGTGAAAACAAAATGGATAGCTTATTTTGAAAAAAATAAATGAAGAATTTAATTAAAATAAAGAAAGTTTACCTGCAGTGAATAAGATTAGTGGACCAGCAGAACTGATAACCTATAATGAAGTAAAACCAGCAATTAAGAAATTCAGTGAAGCAGAATGTCTTTTTGGTTGAAATATTGAAGGCTTTAGAAAATGCTGGTTTTCAGTGGTCAACAGATTTTTGTAATGCAATTGTATGGTAAGGAAAAAACCCAAGTAAATGAAATGAAGCTTGGATGACAAAGATTTATAAAAGACACATACACACAATAAAATATGGTGACAACAAATAAAATTGATGATGATGATGATGATGATGATGATGATGATGATGATGATGATGATGATGATGATGATGATGATGATGATGATGATGATGATGATGACAACGATGACAAAAGCAGTTTCAAATCTCTCACTTTTTCACTTTTAGATTTTTAATTTTATTCCTTAATTTACAAAAACATCTAAATTCAAAATTCTGTATATACATACTTCTTTACAAAACTTTTCTGAATCTTTAAAAAAAAACTTTAATTTAAAAAAAAAAGAATTTAGATTCCAGTTGTCTGTAATTGTAAAAAAATTTAATGTGAACAAAATATTACACAACTTACAACATTTACTAGAACAAGATTTTAAAGTGTTTTGTTTTTTAAAGTTCTGATAAATGTTGTAAGGTGTGTAATATTTTATTCACATTAAAATTTTTTAACTACAGATTTTTTGTATTGATGTTTATGCATATAATCACAGAAAAAACTATAAAAAAGTATTTAACACGTTGCAATAATCAAGGAAAACAAAAGAAGCCACCAATCAAACTTCTGATATCAAACAGACAAAATTGTTTTAAGGAAGTAACAAACATTTGTATGGTAATGCTTTCTAGTTTGACTTTTGTCTCTATTCTCTATTGATAGAGCAAATTGAAAGTTTTGAAATCATAAATTTAATAAAAAATATTCCAAAAACTAAATTTGTATTAGGTATTGATGTAACTCTGATGAGCAGCTATCTAAACTATCTAAATCTAAGTTTTTTATGTTAGTTATTATTAAACCCTGTTATGTAAATTATTATTAATCCCTGTTATGTAAATTATTATTAAATCATATAAAATAAATCTCTTTTTTGATAATTTGTAAAAACTATATGACTTTTATTACTTACTAACACAAAGTCAGGATAATTTTTAAATTTGAAGAATAAACGATATGGTGGTAGTTTTGATAAAATACCAACTGAAGGAGTTGATAATGGTAACTGGTAAAACGGGAGAACTGGTAAAGACAAAACAGATCCACGGCACCTCTCTAAGTATAGAGAACATCTAAAAATTAAAAAAATAGAATTAACAACATACTTACAAGAAGATTGGTCAAAAAAAATAAAATAAAAAATTAAACACTCCACAAAATCCACGGAACAAAATAAAATAAAATAAAACTTAAAAATGAAATTGTGTACACCTGGTACAAAATAATAGTAAATATACAAAAAATTTTTGCATCTGATACTAAATAACAGTGTTTATATATTAAAAAAATGAGCCATTAAAGTTAACACGCTATTATCAAGTCCAGATATTTCAAGAAAGGTTTATTTGATAGTAAAGATAAAAATAATGAAATACTATACAAACCAATATTCAAGTAGTGATATAAAATACTAACATTGAATTTATTTTTGACGATTTTTTTATTTTTTATTTGTTTGCATCTGTGGATGTGCAATGTGGGTGTGCATCTGTAGACATGCATTGCAGGTGTGGGTGGATTTAAGAGAGTTTTTTAATATAAACACTTATAAAAAAAATTATATTGTATTTTGCCACAGAGCAAATCAACAATTAAACTTAACAAAAAAATTAACAATTTAAAGTACTGCTGAATTTTGGGTAAAAAATGAACCCCTAGTAGAGTACTGTTGAATTGTGGGTAAAAAATGAGAACCAAAAAAAAAATCATTAAAAAAAAATCATTAAAAAAAAAATCATTAATACCTAACTTTGTGGAAGTCTTGTGCAAACAAACTAAAATTTGTCCAAAGTGTATTTTGAAGTTGTTTTATATGTGAATTTGTAACTAAAAGTAGAAAAAAAAAATTAGGACCAGTTTTCATAAACAAATAATTTTTAAAAATGAAATATTACTGCTACCTTTTTCACTAATATTAAACATCCCAGTCCGAAAGTCAACATTTATAGTTAGTTGTTCAGAAGTAGAACAATTAGGGTATGGTTGCAATCGCAAAAACGGAACTTCTTCATTTATATAAGAATTAGTTATAAAGTAAGCATCTTTAACTAACTCGTCCCTTAGTTTAAGTAATCTTTGATAAGAAAATTTCTTTAATGAAGCAAAATAGATGTTTTCAATAGAAAAACAACCAATGGAGAGTAGTTTTCCTTCAATGTGATCTTTTTCATTGTACAAAGGCGGATTATGACTCAAGACTAACAAATTTTGATTCCCATTTGGTACTTGGATGATTATTTGAGGATATACTCTTGTTTCTACATTTTCAAAGACTTAAATATTATTTCTCTCATTATAAATAAAGTTTCAAAAAAAAAAGTTTCAAAAATTATGTTTACCACTTTGCTGTATTTGAGTGAGATTTAATCTGGATAAAAAAATAAAAGGAAACAGATAAGTTTCTAGTTTAAAATCAAAATTTTTTCTTTTATCAGAATCATACTAAATATAAGATAAAAAAATAAGATATAAAATGATTTAGAAATTAAACATTGAAACAAAACAAGTTCAAACTGACCTGCAATAAGAAATTACAAGAATTTTCCCCGGCACATATTCATGAATATGTACACAATCTCCCCAACGCTCTGATATCAATCTTTTACACTGAAATTTTTAGAAAATGAAGTTAAAAAAAAATACTAATAATATTTTGATTTGAACATTCTTAATAGTAAAAAAAAAGTAACACAGTCACCTGTGTATGAAAAACCTCCAACTGAAGTGATAAACAGAAATGATCTTCAGTAAAATTAAAGAAAATCATTATTTTATTATATACATACACCTTGCTTTTTTTTACCAATTTATATATTTACCTTGCTTTTTTTAACAATCTATACATATACGACTAAATTTTTTTAAATTGTCATTTAAGACAGCTTTAATGTGTAGGTAAAGTGAATAAGGTGAGAGGAATATACAGTGTACATTGTAGAAGTGTACATTAAAACTTACCTCTAGGGTATCTAAAAAAGAAAAAAAAAAACAATAATATCAAATAATATTTTACATCAATAGCTAGCGCATACTAGTAAAATATTTGAATTCATCTTATATCATTTTTTAAATAAATGAACTTGAATAAAATAAATTTTAAATATATAATACATATCAAATGAACATGCCATATCAAATAAGTATTTTTTTTTAAACCCAGTAATTAGAAAAACACATTTTTTGCCCATCCCAAAGATTTGCTTTTGACAATGATGACAATGGTTTATAAATAATTATAAGACAAGAAGTAATTATGGACGAAGCTTCTGAAGCTTCTGAAGCTTCTCGAAGAAGGTTAATCAGGAGAATCTTTGCTACCAACTAGATCAAAATGAGTGATTGGAACTACCATCCTTTCATTAATACTTTTGCTGTCATAGAACCCTTAAGAAAAAGATTTGGTCATAGATCTAACCAGGTAAAACAGTGGCTGCCACATCCAAGCATCATATAACTTATGGAGCTTACAAAAGAGGCTCAACAAAAAGTTGTTGCCCCAATATTTAGAGATAGCATTATAACAACAACACAACAACACTTCCTCAATGCTTAATGTTTTATAAGCAAATCACATTTCAAAACACAAACAGAAAGCAATAAAAAGTAAAATATTATATTTCTTTAAAAGCATTTGATTATAAACAATCAAAAAAATGATATTTTTAATACAAAAATAATTTAGAATCATAAAAAATAATTAGCTTAAAAATTCTTAAAAAACCCTTAGAAAATCATTACAAATGTTTTTTAAATTAAACATGAAAAGATACGTAGAGTATTATAAAGATCCACAAGCGGATTGTCTTCTATCATAAGGCGCGACTGAACAACTTGATGTATATAGTTAATCTAAACAAATTTTTTTCTAATAAAAATTTATATTTAGATTTAGTTCTTTGCTCTAATAAAAGTACTTTATATTTAGATTTAGTCATTTTCTCTAATAAAAATACTTTTTATTTAGATTTAGTCATTTGCTCTAATAAATGTACTTTATATTTAGATTTAGTCATTTTCTCTGATAAAAGTACTTTATATTAAGATTTAGTCATTTTAGATGTTTGGTATAGAATTTATAATCCTGATATTTTTTGTTTATGTTATGTGTGTTAGATGTTTGTGTGAAATTTATAATTCTGATGTTTTTTGTTTTAAAGAATTTCAAAATTTTCAAAAATTTAATAAAGATCTGACAAAAGTTCTAGATTTATTGATTGTAGACAATAAAAATTGCATTAAAAATGTCATTCATTTACTACCGTTAGACAATGAAAACCAAGGCCACCATGCAATTAAATGGAACTATTTAATTAAAAAAAGTTAAAATTAATTGTTGAATTGAAACGTTACCTCAATAAATCTGGAAATTATGTGCAAATAAAAAATTATCCAAATAAATTAAGGAACTTATATTTGCAAATATAAATACCGATGAAGCTTATAACTTTTTTAATTAGGCATTTTTTTATTAGGCAAATTAAAGAATCTAAAGAAATTTTTTTTAGATATTTTCTGAACAAGTTTTTTTACAAAAATAAAAAACTTGTGAAAGAAAGATATCAGCATTCCTATGCAGAACCCAAAATTGTTTATATACTGGCTATGTTTCTTCTTACAACATTTATATATTATATAGCTCGTTAAAATTTCTTACTCCTGGAGCATCAATAATTTGCTCTGGCAAAGAGTTCCAGTGTTTTACTATATAATTAGTGAAAAAACTTTGCCTTTGTTCGCAATGCTTCACCAGTTGACATTTTATTTGCATGGCATGACCAAGAGTACCACCAGCAGGTCCATCGCAATAAAAGGAGGGAAGAGACATCGATGGGTGATGCCTGTTAATGACATCAATCTGACGTACTATTTTAAAATGCTGCATCATATCACTTTTGATCCTTCTCTCAGTTAGTAGGGTGGTAAGTCCTAGTTCTTTGAGTCTTTCTTTGTATGGAAGTTTTGATATCAAGAAAATTACTTTTGTTTTTCTTTGTATGTTTTCTAAAATCTTGATGTCTCTCGCTTGATATGGTGACCATCAAATTCTAAATGTGGTCTAATATATGTTATATAAAGCGATTTCCGCAAACTTAAATCTCTTTGTTGACATACTTTTTTAAAAATTCCAAGTATTTGATTGGCCTTCATAGCAGCAGAACCTACTTGCATCTTAACTTTGAGGTTATCAGAGAAAAGTACACCTAAATCTCGTTCAATTTAGGTAGCAGCTAATGTGACTTGTGTGCCATTGTCATCATACATATAGTATTTTTGATTTGATTTAGTCGATCCTTGACTGATATGCATGACCTTACATTTTTTAATATTAAACTTCATCTGCCAATTTCTTGACCATTCAACAGCTTTATTGATATCAGATTGTAAAAAATCCACATCTAATGGTGAGCTGATTACACCAATGATTTTGCTATCATCAGCATATAATGTTATATTGTGTGTCAAATTATCTGGTAGGTCATTAATATACAACACAAATAGAAGAAGACCGCTTTTTTTCATCTATCGGGCACAACACCAGTACTAAGTGAGTAATTAAAGATTATACCCAAAGGTAAAGCCATACTTGAACAACAATTTAAGAGAACTCGTAGATGGATGCAATCGAATCTGGCGGACTTATTTGGATCAATTACTTTTAGTTTGTTTTTGATATGCTTGTGACTGAAAAAGTGGTCAGGAATTTCGCTGCATAGTATTTCAGTTCAATTTATAAAACAGGTTAGCTCATTTGATTGTTCCACAACAAAAACAGTATGAAAAAAACTACTAAAAGAACTGCAAATTAATTCGCCTTCAGTTATGATTGTTCCATCAGTATTTTTCAAAGCTTATATAGAGTCTTTTGCATGTCTTTTTTTTCGCACATAGGAATGGAGTATTTTTGGAATTAGTTTTGCTTTTTGAACAATGGTCTCTTCATATTCCAGGACTGTTTTCTTTATAACTTTTTTTACTGATATATTAGCTAGCTTTATGCTCTAATTTTAATTTGACATGAACAAATCGCCCAGCAGATTTATATTTGGCCCAAAGGTCTCGTTTTAGACAAATAGCAGCTTTTACATCAGTTGTCATCCACGGTTTATGAACAAAAAATAGTTTAGATTTTGTTGTTGGTATATATTAAGCACACGCTTTTTCCCAAACAGGTCACGGTAAATTATTGGTGGATTGATTTGCATCAGTACTAGCAATGGAATATTCACATGTTGTCATAAAGTTAGCACGACCTTGTGGTTTATAGCTGAGAGGTTCACCTGTTTTTAGTGCAAAAACACGGTCTGGCTCATCTGTGATAAGAAGATCAAGGGTGTTTTTTGGCTCTTCTTCAAAGGAATTTCGAAATGTTGGAAAGGTAACAAGTTGCATAAGATAATTATTTTGAAGGCAGCTAAGGAATATCTGGACGCTTATCACCTATAGATGTCTCCTCGATATTAGCTATTGTTGCTGTTCCTTCACCAATGTCAACATCAACATATCTAATGTGACTATAATTAAAATCACCAAAAACTACCATACTTGAATAACCTAGACAGGATAAAAATTACTTTGCAATTGTAAGCGATTCACATAACGAAACATTAACATCTAAGCTGCTACTTGGTGGTCTATAAATGCATCCAATAATATATTTTATAACATCCAATTTGTACTATTTTCCATAATTGTTCAACCGCACTATTGTTGAATTGTATGTTATATACTTCCAACACATTGATACATTCTTTTATATAAAAACAAATAATAAATATAAATAAAATAAATAAATATAAAAACCACCACCAGCATGAAAGCTGTTCCGATCATGTCAAAACAGCTGATATCCACTTAACAACGCTACATTATCAGGGCCTAATTTTGTTTCAGCAACTGCTATAATATGAGGCTCATTTTTTTCATGGATGCATTATAAATTTGGCCAGCAAGTTCGTAAAGTTTGTTTTGAAGTGAATTTGCATTTGTGGACCAGATTCTTAAATTATTTAATTTAGGAGGTATGTTTTGTATCATATAAAAATGTATCATAAAAATCCAGAACAAATAAGGAAAAGTTTATTGGCAAAGGAATTAAATCGAAAATCTAATTACGGTTATTAGCTAGAGGTTTGTGAGAAATGAATATAGTACCAAGAATAATTATAGAAGAATTAAAGTTTTTTGTTTAAAAAAGAACAAATAGTTAAAAAAAATTTAACAGCAAAAATCATTGCCAATATACTTTATGATAAGTTTTTTGATAAGATTGTTTTAAAGAAGCTAATAAACTAATGTGCTAATAAAATTGTATTTTTTTATTATTCTGAAAATTAAAAAATTTCAAAATTTTTATTATTCTGAAAATTAATAGATGAAGCACAGGCATTTAAAACATGAAAATTATATTAAAATTTTTAAAGCTGATGAAAATGAAAGATTACTATTAAAATTATTAACTTATTATGAATTATGGTATAAAAACAAAATTGTTAAATTGGATAAGATCTTTTTATTTAATAAAAGAATTCATGTTTGTCTGTTCATGCATACATGAACAGACAAACATATGAACATATATATAATCATATGTACATTATAATATTGGGGCAGGCACAGTGGAGTGTTCATACATTGACTGACTAAAATAGAGACAGGTGCAGCAAGGTGTTCCCACATTGACTGACTAGAATAGGGACAGGCACAGTGAAATGTTAATACATTGACTAACCAAAATAGGGACAGGCGCTGTAGGGTGTACATGTAAGTACAAAGGGTTATGGCTTGAACGGACAGTCAAAAAATAATAACTTATTAACTAGTAAAATGCATAAGCTCTGCTTAAATTTAAGAATATATAAATTTTTCATTAC